CAGCACACCCTAGTCCCCTTGATATACATACACCAGTGTTTGCATAGCCACGGGATGAGAAGAAGCCTTAAAAACAAGTGAACATACAGAGAATGGATGACTTACTTCACTGGAATTCTGAACGATTTCCCAGTACCTCCGCAGGCCAGAAAGGAAGAGGTTCAGACTGACGGGCCAGAATGTTGGCAAGGAGGCGAGCGGAACCTGGGAGTTGAACTCTTTGGAAGAGGCCAGGCTGTCTGCAACCGGGTCCCTCTGTTGAGGGTGAGTTGGCGGGGATTTGCATCGTAAAAGAGGCAGGAGGTATTTGAGACAGCGATGTAGAACTGTCTCTAGGCAGTCCAGCCAAGCTGAGAGGCAACATTCAGTTGATGAGGCGAAAGTCTGAGGATACAATAAATAGTGGAAAATTTTGATGATGATAATTGACGATGCCTTGAAAACTTTATTACGAAAACACCAAGCAGCTCTACTTGTGCCAACCTATCAATGGAAACGTTTACCTTATTGGTTTTATTTAAGTAGCGCTGTAATCGTATCAAAAATTGCCGACCAGTAGGTGCATTTTGACTTTCGTTGATGAACGTTCATCGACCGCTAACGGAACTCACTTGTTCCGCTGTGTCTTTGTCTTGTGCCTCATTTCTCGGCCCCGAAGGCAGCTATGGCAGCGAGTAGTACAGGCAGATAGCATTGCCGGTCAAGACAAGGGAAATTGGAATGGTCATTTCTGGCTTAATAGCCATCGTCAGCCGTTCATACGCAGACTCAAACGGTGCACCAATTACAAATGAGTAATCTTCCTTGGACTTTATGTATATAGTATGCAGTTATGAAACCTCGAAATCATCTAAATCATCTAAATATCTATTCCCCTTGTCCAACTGCCTAAAGTATTTTGTGGTCAAACATTTATTTCTTGACTAGTGAGTGCAAATGAATATTTATTTGTGGCGGAAGTTGTCAAAAAATATTAAATTAAATAAGGTTATGTTTGTTTTAATATACTAAAATAGAATAAAATTCCGTCAAAATGAACTCCGATAGCGCAGGATACTGATGCCAATGGAGGGAAATTCGGCCTCCAATTGGTGGAATTTAACGAAAAATGTATTCGGACGTCCCGGACGCGAGTTATCACTCGAGCAATCCGGAGAGTACCAGAACAAAGAGTCCTTACTGAGGACCGGTTCATGCAGTTAAAAGCGACCCTTAAAAAGCGGGCATTAGGCCAGGACAAAGAAGGCACGCGCGAGTGAGACTGCCCCGGGGCCGAGTTGCCACTATCAGTGAGGTCACGCTGAGGACAGATGCACAGATGCGCGTTATTGAGCGTGCGTACGGCCACTCATAAAGAGCCAATGGGGAGCAATGACGACTGCCCCTTAAATAGCAAGACTGCGAGCAGAACGGGACTCTGTTGTTGGAGACGCTGCCGACGACCCGGATTCTGTTGCCCTAGACGAGAGACTGCTGCCGAGACGAGACCGACCACATAATACAAGCTGCTGGACACACAGGACACAGAGCTGATAAACCAGTACAACTGCGAGTAAAGTACTATCTGTTATCCTGTTCTGCTTACTCTTCCTAA